TCCATAACCAACAAAGATATGCAACACAAACACTATCTCAAAATGCTTTTGCCAAAGCAAAATTCATCCAACAAAAGTAAGACAAATCCCACAAAGGAACTCATGAATACACACATCATGTATTTCAAAAACCATAGCCAAAACAAAGGCTCAACTCTCGAACTACTAGAAGTAGTATGAAAATAAGAAGTTTAGTTTTAAAACAATTCTATCAAGAAGCATACTTGAAAAAGAACGGTTTCTGCAAGATCAAAAGATCCAAGACAAGATGAAAAGACTCTTAGTTAAATCATACTTGACAAATGAAAAATGGACACACCATTTAACAAAAATTCCTCACAGGAAAAACTCTCATTAGAGAAGACTCAAAATGACCACACACGGTGCTTTAACTTTCGGCCATACCCCCTCCTCCTATTTATAGGCTAGCAATTTCGGCCATAAGTACTAAAAAGAAGACCAATTAGGACTCTCTATTATCTCACGCAGGAGTAGAGTTAGAAGAGTATTTGATCTCATTGACTCTGTCTAAAATCTGGAAAATCTTATCTAGATGACTCATCCTAAAATAGGATAATACTTAGAAGGAATCTAAGACTCCTAAACAAAACACTCTAGCTTAATTCAGCCCACATGGCTTATCTTAACTAAATAAACTCGAAAAATTAAACTCCTAGACTAGATAATACTCTAAATCCGAAAATCAGCTCCAAATATTGAAGTAAAATGTCTTGAACGCCCTTCCAAAAAGTAGAATATTGGTCTTGCGCCCCTCAAGTTGTAGATAACTCCAATTTACTCTAAAACTTGTAGAATTCTCTTTATTGACTCTAAAAGAATGGAAAAACACTTGAAACAATTAAGATAGTTGGCACCCTATCTAATTGTGTAGCAATGGACTCAATCTTGAACACTTTGATCAAATAGGCCTTCCATTCAAGAACCTAAATGATTCTTCTCTCTAACTTGATCAATGATCTTCATGGAGCACCTAGAGTCAAACTCCCTTGATACTCTTGAGCACTTATTTCCATGAGTGAATCATCTCCTTTGGTTTGAACCCCAAAGTTAATGACATTCTCATCATCTTGATCATAGCTCTCTTGAACTAACTCTCTATCACATAGGTAGTCAAGATCCATCCTTTCTTCCTTGATTGGCCTGCAAAGTAAACTTGGCATCTCAAAACTAGAATGAAGGACTAGCTCATTTCCCTCACTAGGAGAACCACCATGGAAGGCTATATGATTCTCATCAAAACTGGTTTAATAGGGCTGGTAGAAACAAAACTTACGGGGAAAAGAGTGAAGGAGAAGATAGAAAGAAAATGGACAACTATTTTAGCAACCATAAACAGGGTGAAAAGGGCAGAATATTGCTACTTTGGGATCCAAAGGAGTATAAGGTGAATATCCTAGTACCTAATGAGCAATATGTGCATTGTGAAGTACAGAAGGTTCAAGAACAAAAATCATTCCTGTGCACATTACTGTATGGGGATGCACAAGTGGCATGGAGAAAAGAGCTCTAGCAAGGATTGATGGATATTCACAAAAATGTTCATCAAGTCTAGCTATTAGCAGGAGATTTTAACAGTGTGTTGAAGCTAAAGGAGAAATCAGGAGGGACAAGGGAGACACATACTGATACTGAGTTATTTCAGATAATGACAGAACACTGTGAGTTAAGTGATATGAAGACACATACTAATACTGAGTTATTTCACATGGAGCAATAAGAGAGTGGGTGAAGAAAAAGTGTTAGCAAAGCTGGATAGTGCTTAATTAATGAGGAATGGATGGACAAGTATGAAACCAGCTATGCCACAGTGTTAAAGGCAGGCATTTCAGATCACTGTCCACTCTTAGTGACACTCAGGTTGGAGAATAGAAGGAAGCAAATGGCCTTTAAGTACTATAATATGTGGTGCCAAGCCCCTCGGTTTAAGGAAATAGTAGAAAAAATTGGAAGGAAACAGTGAAGGGATGTAAGCAATACCAGGTGATGGTAAAACAGAGGAGTAAAGACAGAACTGAAACAGTTGAATAGTAATCAGTTCTTAGACATAGATAAGCAAGTAAAAGAAGAAAAGGGGAAGCTGAAAATAGTCCAACAGGAATTGGAAAACAACCCAAAGGACATCAACTTGCAACAAGAAGAGAAAGAAGCAGTGGAGCAATATGTGTTAAAAAGCAAAGCCTCAATGAGTTACTGGCAGCAGAAGCTAAAGGAGAATTGGGTGAAATAAGGGGATCTAAATACGACCTACTTTCATGTATGCTTAAGAGGAAGAAGAATGCATAATAGAATAATTGCATATACAAAGGATACAGGGGAGATAGAAGCTGATTGGATAGAAGTGGAGCAACATTTCCTTGGCTATTTTGAAAGCCTATTAGGGAAAGAGGGTAACCGCAAACCGGCGCAAAAGCATATATTTGAATAGGTGGAAAACTCATAATCCAACAGCAAGTAGAATTGATCAGAGACTTTACAAAGGAGGAGGTCAAGGCAGCACTGTTCAGCATAGACCCAAACAAAACCCCTGGTCCATATGGATTTGGAAGTGGGTTCTACAGGCAAACATGGGAGGTAACAGGTACTGATATCATAGAAGCTGTCTTAGAGTTTTTCCACACTGGGAAAATTCTAAAGCAATGGAATACAACTATAATATCTCTTATACCTAAATGTGATGTGCCCCAAAATGGAATGGAATATAGACCTATATCATGTTGTAATACTCTTTATAAATGCATATCTAGAATGCTTTGTAATAGATTGAATAGAGTATTGCCAGAACTGGTAGAATATAATCAGAGAGCATTTATACTGGGGAGAAAAATATTACATAACATACTGGTTTACTCAGGAACTAGTACGGTTGTATAGGAGGAAAAATATGATGCCTATTTGTATGTTGAAAGTAGATATTAGGAAAGCGTATGACACTCTTAGTTGGAGCTTCCTTGCTGCAATGTTAGAAGCATATGGCTTTCCCCCGAAATTTGCTGGATGGATAATGACTTGTGTGTCAACCTGTTGCTACTCACTGAATTTGAATGGATGCAATACAAGCTTTTTTGAAGGGAAGAGGGGGCTGAGACAAGAGGATCCATATCCCCCTCGTTATTCGTCATGGTCCTGGACTACATAACAAGGGTCTTCAAGGTGGCGGTTAGACAGAATGAGATTGAAATGCATCCTAAATATAGTGAACTTCAAATGACCAATTTAGGGTTTGCAGATGATCTCATCATTCTCTGTAAAGATGAAGTAAAATTTGTCCAGAGAGTCAAGGAGATACTAAAACATTTTGGAGAAACCATTGGATTGCTGGTCAATGAACACAAGTCAAACATCTATTGTACTGGTATTGATGAACCCTCAAGGAATTATGGAGTTTGAGATATGAAGTTTCCCCATGAGATATTTGGGGCTACCAATATCACCAACAAAGTGGAAGCAGCAGGATTGTCAATAGCTGGTAGAAAGGATAAATAAAAGAATCAGAAGCTGGGGTACCAAGCGTATCTCCTATGCTGGAAGAGTGCAACTGATAAACTTAGTTTTGAGCTCCATGTATGTGTAATGGGGATCAACCTTTCTGCTGCCAAAAAGTGTAGTAACACAGATCACCATAATATGTAGAAACTTCTCATTCGGTCGTGATGAAATGGGAAGAAGAGTAGCACTAGTAGCCTGGGAAACAGTTTGCAAGCCCAAAAAAGTGGGACTAAATATTCGAGATCATGTCATATGGAATGAAGCAACAGTAACAAAACAACTATGGGACATACTACAAACAAGTAGGTGCTTTGGGTGCGGTTGATCAATGAATACTATCTGAAAGGAAGCAGTTTTTGGGAGTACAAACCCCCATAGGACTGGAGCCGGCACTGGAGGAGAATGATGAAAATTAAAGAGAAGCTGAGTGAAGATAGAAATGCAGAAGTTTAGAAGGAAGGAGTGGAGGACTATAGCATACAGAAAGGATACAAAACATGGAGACACAAGGAACAAGTCTTTAAGAATTGGACTGTGATTTGGAATAAAGCCTGCATTCCAAAACACAGCTGTATAGCCTGGCGAGCTTGCCATGGTGGATTAATGACAATGGAAAGACTTGCAGAGCTGAATGTCTTGAATGATAATCTGGAATGTGTGTTATGTACTGAAGGGACCGAGGAAAATGTAAAGCATCTGTATTGTGAGTGTTGGTATTCTAAGGAAATGCTTAAAGGATTGTTGGATTGGTTAGAATACAAAGACAGAGGACTCCAGTTGGAACAACTGCAGGTGAGAATTGAAAATGGCTGTAAGTTTCAGAAACTAAAAAAAGAAGTTAATCAGTAGAGCTGTTATTGCATGTATTTCCCATATTTGGTATGAAAGAAACACGAGAAGGTTTAATCAAGAACAAAAACAGCCGGAAGAAAGAATAGCAATGATCAAGCAGGAGACAAAGTGGAAGATGCGAGTAGGAACTTGTAAATTGAAGTAGAATAATAGGCCTTTTTGTATAGAGTTGGTTTGCAGGAGTGTATAGTAAGACATCCAAAAACTAGTAGCGGTAGAAAAGAAGCATAGAATGATGTACAAATGAATCAGTTTTGGGCTATATATAATATTTACCATTTACCAAACCACTCATTAAAGAAAAGCTAAATATTCATTTTATATGAGTGAAAATATTCATTTTGTAAAATGAAATGTCCATTACAAATTAAAACAATTTTTCCAAAAAAAAAATTTGCAATTTATTTAGGATTTAAGTTTTTGTAAATATTTTCCAAATTTTTTTTTTAATTTTTTTGGGTACTTTTGGTATAAAATGGTAATTTTGGTCGCGGCGGTTGTGCTTTCCATATTATTTGCGTTCTTCCGATAAAACCCACAAAGGCGAAGAAGAAGGGGAAAAAGCAGCTATAAAAAAAGGGAATAAAAACCCATTTAGTTTCCCTCCTTTGTTGAATTAAGAGCAAGAGAGAGAGAGAGTAATGAATTCTAATCCAGGACAAAGCTATCAGCAGCAACCCAGTAGTAACTCAGAAAGGCACGATGATGATGCTGCTCTCTCTGAATTTCTGGCTTCGTTAATGGATTATAATCCCACCGTAAGTTCGCTTCTTCTATACTTCGTTGCACAATGATATTTTGGGCAAATTTCTTTCCCCTGTTTTTCTATGAATCGCAAGTGAAACGGTGGTAAACTTTTTCTTTTTCAAAAATTTTGATTTTTTCGCAGATTCCTGATGAATTGGTTGAGCATTATTTGACTAAAAGTGGCTTTCAGTGTCCAGATGTTCGATTGTAGGTATTCCTATCCATCGTTTCCCTTTTGTTTACTCGTGCAAGGTGTTAGTTTAACAATAACTAAACTAATGTCTCCATGACTTGTTATTATTGTAGCTGAATTTTGTATTCCGATTTGTTGTCATTTGCTTTGTGTTCTGGAAAACAAAATTCAATAATAAATCCTTGAGGTTTTTTTGGTCGTAAAGTGAAGATTGCTGTAAGGAATCAAAGATTGTATATGTAGAAATCTTATCATTTGTGTCCCTTTGTTTTTTCTTGCTGATGTAATTGATCCCTTTTTAATCACTGTAGGACCAGGCTGGTTGCAGTTGCTACGCAGAAGTTTATTGCAGATGTTGCTACAGAATCTCTCCAGTATGTATTGGGTTCTTTCTCACATGTACTATCATGTTTGTTAATCTTTTTCCTTTTTCCCTTGTTTTGGTATCAGTGTTGAACGTTTATAGTGTGGGAAGCATAAGTATGACAATTGTACATTGAAACAATTTCGATGATTTAGCCTTGACGGGAAGAACAATCCTCACTACCCTTATTATTAGCTTAGTCTTATCATCTATATGAGTTTTATTTTTATTGTAAATTTTTATCAAGTATAAGTCCTGTCAGTGGAAAAGTTTTACTGAGGGGGTTCAGACACAATCTAAGAAATTGTCCTTCATTGCTCAAGGAGATCGGTTAAATTAGGGCTTTTTGGGGTGGCAATTTTAGTTATTCCTTACAATTTGAACTGATGATCCCATTCGTTAGGCTTATATATCAAATGTCATCATATTGTTTGGTTTTGTCACTGTAATGCAGGCATTGCAAGGCAAGACAGTCTTCTGTGGTTAAAGATAAAAAGCAGACAAAGGTGGTTTCTTGTGCTTCGCATTGCTTCTTGGTTAATACACAGAACATCTAACTCTTGGTTCTGATTTTGTTCAGGATAAGCGGCTTATCTTGGCAATGGAGGATCTGTCAAAGGCATTGCGTGAGGTCAGCACCTAGCTCTCATATCTCATATTTGTAAATAGTATAGGAAAGAACGGTGAAAGAAGATGTCAGTCGTCCTTCATATATCACCATATACAAGTGAAAACAACTTGAGTAAAGGTTTAAATTTCTTTCAAAACGTGGGTGATAAATTTATTTGATTTCGTGTATTTTGTTATTCTATGCAGCTTGTATTCTTTGTAGGAATATGGTTTATGTGACTTATGATTCTTATGATCAATTTTGTATCTTGGTTAGTGCTAGTATTGGACATTTGATAGCCATGTAGAAATCCAGTTTTGAGCAAGACCATTTTGTTGTAAGTCATGTCTTTCACTCTTTTGTTATGTTAACGAAGTAATCTGGAACCTATTACTTTAGAAGGCTTGCCTTTAGGTTTATTTCCATATATCGGGATTAGATTTCTTTTTAGGTGATTGTTTTCTCTATCTTTTGATAATTTTAGAACATTGTCGTTTTGGTGAAAGGAAAAAAAAAAAAAAGAAAAGGAAAAGAAAGAGGTTTGAAAATGAAAACTGGAATTGTGCAAATCAAGAATGAAGCTTTCATACAACTCTGGTGTTGTAAATTATATGCCGCTATTGTGTGTTGTTAACGCTTTCATTATATCATGTATATTGTAATAGATTCCTTATAACATTTTCTAATCTTCACTTTTCCATCGTAATTTTTGATTGATGGTTAAATGTTCATTATATTAAGGTCTTCTCCACACATAAGGTGATATTCAATTCATATTGTTTAATATGAACTAACGGATTGGAACATCTGGATTTTCTTCTCTATAGTAGTTGATGAAGGCAGTTGCATTTTCTTACAATGAAGATTCATTTGCTTTGTGTAAAAAGCAACAATATGAATATTAGTTAGGTCAAAGTGTTATGTTGCCTGAAAGTTTTTTATGTTGTATGTTATGTTCAGCTAATTTTACCTGCATTGCTTTTTTTTTGGTTCCGGGTCAACTGCCCTATTCCCCTCTGTCTGTTGCTAGTTTGCCACTTTACACGAACAAAATATTGATTGGAGCCAGTCCTCTATCCTTCCATACTGATTGGAGCCCGCTCTCTGCCTTCTCCATTGTTTTTCTTTCTTGACATATCTCCTATAGAAATGGATTGAATTATTGATATGAAGGGCTTGATTGTAGTTGTAGTAATAATGGATGAGTAATTCCATAATGGAAAATTTTTGCCGTCCTCTATATTTAATTTTGAAAGATTTGTGTTTTGATGGGCAATTGAAATTCTCAAAGTTCTATCCCAGTCATAATCCTTTATGTTGTGCTACATTTGAGTTAAGAAATTGGTTGTGAAACCTGCAAAAGTGTGGGTTTAGCAAAGCTCTTCGTTAAGGATGTAGTGATGGTTGATGTGGGAATCAGTGGATTGATAGTTTCTGCAAATTACCCCCTCTTAAAATGAAGCTTCGGTGAATCTAGGCATATTTTATCCGAAGACAAAAACTCCTTGAGTCCTTGTTTCCTTAGCAGTTCTCTTTCGTTTAGACTACAGTTGTAGTAAGCATTTAATAGTGTACAAAAGAAATTCGTTCAAGCTATGTGCGGAATGACTTAAGGAGTTTCAGTAAGAGATTGTGATGTGTTTTGATATGGATATGAGAAGTGTAACCATGGAAGTTACCGTAGTTGGCTGCCTATCATGGCTGTGACTGTGAGCATTTACTCACTAGCCCCTGGTGGCATATGAAGCAAGCATGCTGCCGTATCTTCCTGTTCATCTTTTGTTTACTAAAACGGATTGTTTCTTGGACGCAATGTGCTTCTCTTACTTGTGTGTGATTCACTTCCTTCAGTCATGGGCTATCGCTGAAGCTTCTGTCCAGCATCACAACTTGGAATCTTGTTTCTTGACGACATTCTGGCAGTATAACTTGTGGTTTATGTCATTCAATGCTGTGGGCCATATTTAGCCTCAGTATTTATTATTTGCTAAGAATAATAATTTAGTTTCACGTATTTAAGGGAAGGAAGGATAGAGGTAGAGTGTGTCTCTGCCTGTGTACCTACACATCTATGTCTAACCTATTATTGACAATCTTTTGGAGCAATGAAAGAGAGTATAAAAATGTAGCGGCAAGTGCTGGTTATGAAGTATCTATAGTTTCCATGTGTATCTCGTTTCTTGCTTGTAAGTAAGCGAAATGTATGGTGACTTTTTTATGTATGTACACTATACAGATGAACTTAATCTTCTGACATAAAATCTAATATTTATCATCATGTTAACTATGTTGAATCTCGTCATACTGATGTCCCTTTCAACTGGCAGATCTTTTTCAGTTGACATCGATATGCCTCTGACTTTTGCTGACAGGGGTGACAACCATTGAACTATTTATCATTGATTGGACCTCTTTCCTTGAATAACGTGTAATCTTTAGGAAGAGGTAGGAAGAGGTTGCCCTTGATATCTATTCTGTTCTACTATAGTTCTGTTGCCCTTACTGCTCATAATCAGTGGGCAGTCATATCTGTTGTAGTATTTGTTACAAGTTTTGGTGTCCTTTTTTACTTTTCATTTGAAACTCATGTCTGAGTAGGATGGTGTTTGGTTCTGTTCTCTTTGATGAGTAATTCCTTTATTGTATATGTTGATTGCAGTATGGCATTAATGTCAAACATCAGGAGTATTTTGGTGATAGCCCTTCGGCTGGTTTGGATCCTGTTTTGAGGGAGGAGTGATGATTCTTGTACTGTAGTCATCACGTTTTCCTCTTATTTTTAGAGTTCTCTAGTCATCCACTTGTAGAATGATTTTCTGTTTACTGGCTTACATGTTATTCTGCAGCTTGAAATTCTTATTTATACTTGATAAATTTATCATTTATTATTGGGGTTTGTACTAGTATTGAAATCAGTTGGAAATGTCATTTCAAAGTTGGTAAAAATCCGTGTATTTCTTGGGGTATTTGTATGTGGTGCTGACAGTTCTTGGCATTCGGCACAATTGTTGATTATCTGGCATGGAAATCGTAACAACTAAAAAGAGATTGCTCGACCGACCTTTCTTCAACTGAAATACGGTGTTGCTAAGAGAAGGGGCATAGCGTTTACCACCCCCCAAAAAAAAAGGGCCAAAAGAAGCTAAAGGTTGCTCTTCAATCTTCACTTTTAAATGTCAAGTTGCTAAAAGTTAGGATAAGAAAGAAAGGGAACTTCTCCTGAAGTTGTAATCTATAAACTATCCATGGCGCTGACATTAAAGTTAAATGCTTCGTATGCGAAAGGGAGATTGCAAAAGATGTCGCAGTGGCGGCAATTTGGATAACTGGGGCATGTTAACAATTGCAGTTTCATATTTTTACATCAGATTTCTTATGGCCATCTTATATACTATCCAGACGAACTGCCATCATCCAGGACCTTTTAAAGATGGTGATAAAACTGAAAAGCTTAGTCACATTAACTAAAAGGATTAAATAGAAAAATCAAAGTTATACAACTTGTTCTAGAAACTGGTCAGCCACTTAATAACTGACCAGTATATCATCTTTTATAGATGTCATTATTCTGATCATGAACCAAGTCGTAAATTCACAACATAACCGGGAAATACTGTACAAAGTTGTCAAACCGGGAACAAAGAAAAATTCCCTGGTCGAACATTTACGTTAAATTCTCAACCAAAGATCACTTGCGACCCAACCTTACAAGATGCTTTTGGTGTTTTGCAGCAGCTGCTTTATCTGCGGCTTCACGCTTCAGTGCCCTCTTAGCCCTACGGCCCACTGAGGCTGATTCTTTACAGGCAGCTGCTTCAATCTTCCTGGGCAGGCGAGATGGTCCAGCACTTGATTCCGAAACATTGGGACATAAAACAGGTCTCGCTTCTTGCCTTCCTGATCGCACATAGCCATTGTCCCCCCATCGCCTGTTACCAATGCGTCGTGAAATAGTACCAAAATAAACTTCATCTATGTACTCTTCTTCTTCGTCTTCATAGGCATAAAAGTAACCCATGTCATCGTAAAACCCTTCCTTTTCTTCCATATCAAGAGGCTTAAACCATGAGGCTCGGAGGAGTAGACATACACTTTCCTCAAACATATAGTCATAAATGCTGTCGACATATAATAACAACAGATTTAGAAATAACAAATTAATCCCCAAAGCAGCTCTATATTCGTGATAATTAGTTTTGCATCTAAAAAAGTAATTTTGCTTAATTGCTTTCCTCCTTAATTTTTCTCCTAGACCACGGGAAGAAGACATAGACCAAGGCAAATTTCAATAACATTTAACTTCCAGCATCTACTATTCACAGCCATCACAGATATCATTAAAAGCAGAAAAAGTATCAATAATGGATTGGATCACAAACTGCCACCAAACTTCAATCCAGCAAGTATCACAGCATTAAAACTTCTGGGATGATTTCAGCTGATCTTTCAAAACAAAAATAACAAAAAAATGCTAATCTAAGCACACCATCTCTGATGCACCACAATGAAAAGAAGCAAACAATGTCTTCAAGCACAAAAATGACAATGTTTACCTTCCATCAAGAGAGCGATGGACGTACAGAAACTCAAATGGATGTTTGCATTGAGGACATGTATCCTTCTTAAATGATGCCCAACGTAGAATGCATGTTACACTGAGAACCAAAAACACAATGCCGGATTATTCAATTGAAAAACTAATTGCCACTTGCTTTTGATGAAAAGCTAAGAAAAAAGCGTACAAGAAACTTAAATAACCATTGCAAAGCAAAGCACATTCAAAAATAATCATGAGTTTCAACAGGCCAGTTCTGGGTAAGGTAGAACCTTCTGGGCCAGAATAAACAAAATACCAAGGACTAACTTATGTAACCAAGCATAAGTGACATTGTGGGGCGAGATCGGCCAAGCAAATGATTCAAAAGTGTTGCTGATGGCAACAAAATTTAAAACTCAACAGAAATACTCCAAAATATAATTCAACAATATACAACTTCAAAAATAGAGGCTGCAAAGTCCTTGTAAAGCCAGAGAAAGGCGAGACTTCAAATCAATTTGATCTAACAACAGCAGAAAAGTAAACCTTAATAAACAAGCTCTGCAGGGGGAAATGGGAAAACCACAAAAACTAAAAGATGAGAGATTCTGATAACAAGACAAACCAGTAGGCGTGCTCGCAACCTTTTACAAGAGCAGTTTCCTGGAGGACTATAGTATTCAAACAAATTGCACAAAAGCCGTAATGTTGACTATTGTCAGTGTCAACTCTACTACTGTCGAGCCCTGAACCCACTTTAGGTTCCATTGATACAATCTCAATCCCCCCTCCTTCAAGTACTAGGCTACTCTTAGCCTCCTCCTCCATCAACTCACTCTGGAAAATCACAATGCATTAAAGTCAGTAACCTTCCAGCAACACTTGATACAAATATCAAGTCATTCCACACAAATGAAAGAACAATCAAATAATCCAACTAGTAACACATAACAGTCCCTTCAACTAATTACCGATAAAAGCAATATTAATCAATTTTAAATCCAAAGAGTTAACAGTACCGTTAGCCGGTAGGATCATCTATTATGACCGAGTAACACAAACCAAGAAATAGATTCATTTAACACAAACCAACCTCTATTAACTTTAAAATAAGAGCACCGACACCGCTTACGCCACCCATCCATATGAATGAAGTTAAAAACTAAAAATTGACACAAAGCTCAAACTTAATCAGCAGCGGAAACAAATACAAGCACAAATCCTTAAAATATATAGAAAAAAGAAAACCCATAAGCAGCGAAACGCAAAGCCACAAAATTTAAAAACAATACATCAGAGAAAAACCCAAACTTTACAACCAACCCACAAATTTGAACAACCCTTTTGGAAAGACAGAATCTTTTTTCAACAATTTACTAACCGGGGTTTCGATGGAAAGAGCCTGAAGAGAGTCGGCGAGCTGATGTTCTTCGTGGGCGATGATTTCTGATACCGAAGCCATTGAAAGGAGTGATGGAAAATGGAACAAGGGATTCAATTTTGGAGCTAAGACTAAGAAAAAGTAACCTAAAAAAAAAACTATAGATCTAAATATAAATAAATTTTATTTATTTACAAGGTCCGGTGAAGAACAAAAGAGATTCGGTTGAATTATTCTGATTCCCAGGGGATGTGAGAGAGAGAGAGAGGCCCCTCTCACAGAAGAAGAAAACGAGGAAGGAGAAATGTGAGTCAGATTAGGACATGTGTTTTAACGCGGTGGTGGTGCTGACTGATGACTCGGAAGAAACCCTGGGCTGACAAAAGATTTTTAGTTGGATCCATCTTGAAAATAATTTATCGGCCCAATGTAAGGGTCTATTCATTTAGCGGCCCAAGATGATTGTAAAGCTTACAAGATTCTATGATTGGTCGTTTACGTTAGGCCAAATACATGTTTTGGTCCTTTACTTTAACATTTTTACAACTTTTTAGTTTTTTAACACTATTCTATCAGTTTGACCATATTTGTGTTCTAGTCAACAAGGATATTTTGCAATAAAAAATATTTATTTTTCAAAAAAAATAATGTTAATAATATTAAAAGAATATTTGAGCTCGAGATTTGGTTTATGTTTTGCACATGAATTTGTTCGATTCTTGCTCTTAAAGAACCCAACTCATTCAAAAAATATATATCATGTGGTCTCGGGTGTCTGCTTTTGTGTTTTATGTCAAAGCTCATTTTGCTCGATAGAAAATGTAAGCTAAGTGTTTGATTGTTAGTCTCAAAATTTTTTTTTTCTTTGAACCAAGGCGGTACTTAGCGGGCATCCCCTCAATGTTATAATGAAATAAAAGATTACACAGGCAGTGCTTAAGACTTACCCAACAAAAGAGAGACTGTCGTACAAAGATTTATTAAAATCTCATGAGAGCTCTAAGATTATAGTGACTAAGACGATGTCTTAAAAAGATTAAACAAAATCCCACGGCATCTCAATTTTGAAAGCATGAAAGAAAAGAATATTAAGAGAGTGTCTCATAAATGTTTAACATTAACCCCATGACACCTCTTTTTTCTCTAACAGGAAGTCATAATTAGCTAAGCTAATCTAAATTCCTATTTACTTCACAATAAAATCAGCTTGAGGCATAATTACTATTTAACCCTTAAATAGGGATAAGAGCATTTGTCAAGGTACCATTTACCTCTTAGTGTGGCTGGAAGGTCGTCTTGATGAAGATATTGTTTAGTCTCTCCCCTCGCAGCTCTTTTGGCTAACTCATCTGCCATTGCGTTTACTTCCCTAAAGATGTGGACAATTCTTGAATTTGAAGTGAGAAGCTTTCCTTGTATTTCCTTGAAAACCAAATGGAATCGCCAAGGAAAGCGTTGCTTGTTGCATAGAATGTTGACAATCGCCTTATTATCCGTTGGCTTAAGCTTCTTTCAGAACAGGCTCGTAGTCCATAAAGAATGCCATGTAATTCTGCTTGTATTAAAGATCCCTTATATCCTCGTATTACAAATCCCCATCCTGCTTCACCCGGTTGCCCTAACGCCGACCCATCAGTATTTAGAATTATTCTCCCGGGGCCTGGTGGTTTCCATCTTAGGGCTCGAGCAGTCTTCTTGGGTTAAGTTGAGATCTTTATCTTGAAATCCCCTCTATCTCTTGTCTATCTTGCTCCGTTTTGGCATACAACTTATGAACACTCAAGAGATTTGAAATATGAGAAGTAATAGTATGTACTAAAGTGTTCAATGAAAAAACTTTACCCTAAAAAATTATGTATTACGGAGTTTCCATATCTCCCAAAGAAGAAAGATAGGAATAACCATAATAATTGTTTTTCTTACTGTTGTATAACTACCTTTTGAATGCCAAGCTTGTATGTTACTCCACCACCCTGTATGATTATAGGTAGTTATACTTATTAAAGAATACCTGTATGATTGTTAGTCTCAAACAAAAACTTAGCACTTTGGATTTTCCCATCTGGCAAAACCTATTTTGCTTTATGAGGCCTAATCTATAGAACCCATTTTCCCTTACGAGGCCTTAATGGTTACAAGGTAACAGAGGTTGAATATTTACAATTACACAAAAATTTACAAAATGTGTTTACTGTTTATTTTCTTAGCTTGTGATTTCCACGGTTGAATGGATTTCCGTAGTATGTATGCTTATTTGGTTGTGAGCAGAAATGTACTTAATGGCTTCAAATCATAAAGGAGCACCAGGACCTGAAAAATCGGCCTAAAAGGGATGCATCTCATGTAAGCTCTGAATAAAGTGATTTAGCTCAGAATCAATTGGTTTATTGAAGCAGAGCTGCTGGATGCATCCAATATCGTTAGTGATTTAGCTCTTGCCGAAATAGGCATTCTTTCACATATACAGAAAACAAGTGAAGAAACTATTAAAACTATGGTTTACAATATCAGAATGAAAGAATTGATGATGCAATCACACATCAGTTGCAGGATTACAGTCATCAACATGCACATGACTGCACTCTATTGGAATCACCAAGCTCCGTTTCTCAGCAGCTTATGGAAGGGTCTTTCACAGACTGTGGTCCCAAAGCTTGGTAGTTGTTTGACGCTGCCAACTGTAGCAAACCTCAGAGGGAACGCTACAAGAAAACATGATCTTCCTCCCGCTCATCAATCCAAAATGTACATAATCAGCAGTCGTTAATTTATGAAGCATACTTCTGTAAATAATTAGATTGTAGCCGTCGGATTTGTGTGTGTTAGTTATGTCTAAATTGCTGTGTTAGAGACTAAGCATGATTAGCAAATCTGTATATATATAGAAGTAGATCTTAGAAACTCTTCTGTACAGAATATACCACAGACTTTACGATCAAAAGGAAGACTTCTTCCCCGAGTTCTTGAAAACCTAGCGTTTATACGTATTCTTTCTTTCTTGTTCTTCAATCAAGATTACATATAGTTCCTATATATATATATATATATTTTAATAATCTGATGATAGATCTTGATTTCTTTGATGGTATCAGAGCAGGATTCATCATGTTCTGAGATCTGCTACCGTAATACCGAGAATTCTTAGTTTGATTCCTAATTTCTTGAGGTTCTTAGGGATTTAGATACAAAATTTAAAGATTTGATATATATTAGTCAAGAATTTCTGATAAAAATGGAGAATACGATCATGAAAGATGAAAGAAGGGAGATCGAAACACTGATTGATGCTCAATTGCAAGTACATGGATTGGAAAATCCAGGAACTCCATTAGTTTTTGTTCTTCTGTATGACATGAATTATTTGATGTGGAAAGGTGCAATGTTATCCACTCTAGAAGCAAAGATGAAGGATAGTTTTGTGACTGGATCCTTGATGAAGCCGACAGTTAATTCACCACAGTTTGCTTGATGGAAACAAGCTAATAGCCTGGTATGTTCTTGGATCAAGAGTTCTATTGTCCCAGAATTAGCTACTACTTTTGCTTTCATATATGATGCAAGAACTTTATGGAAAGAGATAACGGAGTGGTATGGAACTATGAATTTACATTAGTTGTTTGAAATCAAATGAGAAATAGCTCTGACTAGGCAAGGGGAATCAACTGTGGCATCATACTATGGAAAACTCAAACAACTATGGATCAGTATGCTCAATTAAGGCCTATACCACTGGTTGATAATGAATTAGGAGAACTGATGGTTTCTAGGAAATCAGAAGATATCCATATGCAGTTTCTGTTGGGCCTGAATGATATGTATGAGAGGGAAAAGAGTAACATTTTATTCATAGATCCATTGCCTCCTGTAAACCACATCTATGACATGATACTCACAACAGAAAAGCAAAGGCAAGTCAGTGTTAGTATGACTGTATCTCCTGAAAATTCAGCAATGATGACAAAGGTGTTTGATTGGCAGAAAAGTGCAGCGAATGAGCCAGCAGAAGTGAGAAATACTGGTTATGGTTATCAGAAGAGGGACAAGAGTAATTTGTATTGCACTCACTGCCACAAGTATAAGCATACAAAGGAAGAATGTTTTAAACTCCATGGAAAGCCAAAATGGTGGGAAGATTATAAGAAAAAGATACAAATGAAAACTGGATCAAGTACAAGAAAGTTAAGATCAGCAAACTTGGTATCAGTGGATGATACTCCTTCGGATTTTACTCAGGATCGACATAGAGATTCAGGGGGCTTGTAACTAGCAATAGCAAATACTGTGCAAAGGGAGGTAGAAAGGATGCTGAAAGGAAAGATGCCAATAGAAGGAAATGGAGGAGTAGCAGTCAACTTTGCGCACTTTGATGCATTTGCAGGTAGTTCTTGCTTAACCAAACTCCGTGATTTGTCTACTGATTGTATTAAACCAGGTTCTTGGATATCTGATAGTGGAGCCACTAGGCACATGTGCAAAGAATTAAGACTCATGATCAATGCTAAATTAGTAAATGTATTTACCCTTGTGTGGCTTCCAGATGGTAGTATTAATTCAGTGTCACATATTGGTGAAGTAGTACTTTCAGACACAGTCACCCTAACTTCTTCTCTATACTTACCAAATTCAAGTATAATCTCCTTTATATCAAACAATTGGCCAAAGTAAATAACCTACATTTCAAATTCTTTGTTGATTTTTGTCTGCTACAGGACCTTAAAACCAACAAGGTTCTTGCAGCATGAAGAGTTATCAAAGAATTATACATCCTTGATCCACATTCATTTACTCTAGAAGCCATCCAGTAGTCACAAACTCAATTTGCAGCTTTTATGATGCACATTAGAAATCCTATCATCACCCCAGTCTCTACTCCAGCCACTTCTCATGCCTTTTCAGCTATTCCTTTTGATGTAATACACCTTAGACTAGGTCATCCTTCTGAGAATGTAATGAGTCTCCTCTCACATTGTAATAGGAAAGACAGTTTGACACATAAATGTGAAGTGTGTCCTCTAGCTAAACAAACTAGACTTGTATTTCCTAAAAGCACAATTCAAAGTAATAAATGTTTTGATTTGTTGCATATGGATGTTTGGGAGCCATATAAACAGTCAACTTTAGGTGGTTGTCATTTCTTTTTTACTATAGTAGATGTACTTGGGTTTTCCTGTTTAAGCAAATCAGAAGTGCCTACTTTAATAGAGCATTTCATCTCTTTGATCACAAACCAATTCCAAGCATCAGTTAAGATACATAGAACAGATAATGGAATTGAGTTCCTGAATCAATCTCTAGCTAGTCTTACCTCTAAGTTAGGGATCATTCATCAAACTAGCTGCACTTATACACCACAACAGAATGGTGTTTTTGAAAGAAAGCATAGACACCTTCTACAAGTGGATAGAGCCTTGCTAATTCAGTCAAAACTACCAAAAAACTTCTTGGGGAATTCCATTTTAACAGCCACACATCTCATAAACAGATTACCAAGTGAACTTTTGGGGTGAGAGACACCATATGAAAGACTGTACCATAAGCCACCTTATTTAGGACATCTAAGAGTCTTTGGATGTCTTGCTTTTGCAGTAAATACTAGTGCTCAAAGAGATAAATTTGATCCCGGATCTTTTAAAGGGATTTTCTTAGGCTATCCAAACCATCAAAAAGGATATCAGATATATTGTCCATCTCTTCAAAAGACAATAATATCCAGAGATGTAGTTTTATATGAGGACATTTTTCCAACTATGCATATGAATCAAAATGAACCTATTCTTCCTGTTAGCAATATGCTTGATACAGATATAGATACTTCTTTTCCAATGATATCAAATGATCCCTTTCCCACTATTTCTGATCATGAGCATTATTCTGACCATGCACATGAATCTAGTCCCTTAACTAGTCATTCTTCACAACCTTCTGTACCTACTTCAATACCTTACTTTCAACCATCATCTCAATCTTTTGAGGATTTCATTCCTAGAAGAAGTACCAGAAATTAAAGAAAAAATACCATCTTATCTTCAAGATTTTGAAACCACAGCTTTCATAAAATCAACACATACACAACAACCACCTACTACAAATTCTGTCAGTACTTTCACACAAAATGATTTTCTTGCACATTTATCTAGGAGTGATCATAGGTGGGTTAATGCCATGGACAAAGAGTTGGAGGCTTTGGAACTGAATGGGACTTGGGAATTGACTTCTTTTACCAGCATAAAAGAAAGCTATTGGCTCTAAATGGGTGTATAAGATCAAGTGTAAACCTGATGGGACTATAGATAAATATAAGGCTCGTTTGGATGCAAAGGGATATAATCAAGTAGAAGGTGAAGATTTTTCTGAGGTGTTTTCACCAGTTGCAAAATCAGTGACTGTTAGACTATTGCTTGCTATTGGAGTATCTAAATTATGGCCATTCTACCAAATGGATGTGTGAATAATGCCTTTTTACATGGATTCTTGGATGAAGATGTGTATATGACTCCTCCACAGGGAAATGCTAAGGCAGTAACTGGTCAGGTCTTAAACTTAGAAAGTCTCTTTATGGTCTGAAGCAAACTTCCAGACAATGGAATCAAGGGTTTACTACACAATTGCAATAATATGGGTTTACACAGTCTTATAATAATAATTGTTTGTTTACACTAAGTAGAGATGATTGTCTTTTATTTTTGCTGCTCTATGTTGATGATATACTGCTTACTGGAAACACTGTTAGAGAAATGATGAAGGTGAAACATTTTCTTGATCAAGCCTTTACCATTAAGAATTTAGGTGAAGCAAAATACTTCCTGGGAATGGAGTTTAACTATACTCAGGAAGGGTTATACATTCAACAACAAAATTACATCACTAATCTCCCGAGAGATGCAAACATGTTGGATTGTGTTCCCGTGACTACACCATTTCCTATGGATCTTAAATTTGAGTCTTTGGATAAAGACAGTACTCCTTTACTTGCTGATCTAGAGAAATACAGAAGACTAATAGGGATGATGCTTTATCTCAACATCAGTAGACCTGATTTGACCTATTCAGTGCAGCAACTTAGTCAGTTTGTGTACTCTCCTCATGAGTCACACTAGTGTGCTGCAATCCATGTCCTAAACTATCTTAGTGGCTGCATTTCTACTGGTCCTTTCTAAGCCAAAAATTCATCCTTTTCTCTGATAGCTTATAGTGATTCTGACTATGGGAGCTGTAAATCTTCAAGACATTCCGCTACAGGATACTGCATTTTCCTTGGCAATAGTATGATCTCTTGGAAGGCTAAGAAACAATCTACAATCTCCTGTTCCTCAACTGAAGTAGAGTACATAGCCATGGCTTCAACAGTCAGAGAACTTCAATGGATTTCATACCTCTTTCAAGATTTTAGAGTCTCTTTGCAACTGCCTATTCCTTTCTTTTGTGACAATCAGGCAGCTCTTTACATCAATACCAACCCAGTTTTCCACGAACGCACGGAGCATTTGGAGGTAGATTGCCATGTTGTTTGTGACAAGTATAAGGAAGGGTTCATTCAGCCTCAACACATTCCTTCATCATTGCAACTTGCTGACATCTTCACTAAGTCCTTGGAGAAGAAAACTAAAATTTAAAGAAAATAAAGAAAAGAAAGAAAATGAACGGGAATATTTTATGGTGACTACCTTATTACTAATTGAGTTTAAAAAAAAAGATGGATGCCATATTTATAGGCTTTCTACATTAAAAGATAAATTTTTCTCTTCTTCTTTTGATAAGAAACTCTAATATATCAACTATTTAATAGAAGTCATCACTAAACTAGGATTGACATGACCACGTACTAAAACTGTTAATATTTATCTTTAACATCCTCCCTCGGTGAGTCGGGGTTGGAGACTCAGTTTGCTTCTACTGTTCTGAGTGCTTCTCATCTTTACGAACAAACCGGTGAAAAATCTTCTTGTAGACCAATATCAATTTTCAATCTGGAGTGATTCTGACCATGTTTTGGAAAAATTGTTTGAAATTCATTGTTGTATGACAAGTCAAAACTCTTCTTTAGAGAGAAGATTGGACTTTTGCCATAATGAGAATTTTTTGTAGATTGGTAGATTGTTGTATGACAAGTCAAAATCTCTTCTAATAGAAGACCAAACATTTGCCATAATGGAAATTACTGTGGATCGATTCAGAGGTGATTTTCCTCGTTGTCTGAAATTTTTGGATCAACCAAAGTTGATTTGTGAAACAAATTTGTGGTTAATGGGATCGATATGTGGGATGGGAGATTTAATGAAAATTTTTGTGGACATTGTTAGAAAAGCAACCTAGAGTATAGGATTAGCTGTAGAAGAGGAGTGATTTGTGATAAATTTGGAGTTGAAGTATGACACGATCACTAATATTCATGAATGAACATGATTATGAAATCGTAATTTATTTGTTGGCAGAAAAAAAATATTAAGCAGAAGCAAGATAGAATCTGCTCTGATACCAAGATGAAAACTAAAATTTAAAGAAAATAAAGCAAAGAAAGAAAATGAACGGGAATATTTTCTAAAGACTACATTATTACTAATTGAGTTTAGGAACAAAAGATGGATGCCATATTTATAGGCTTTCTACATTAATAGATAAGTTTTGTCTCTTCTTCTCTTGATAAGAAACTCTAATCTATCAACTATTTAATAGAAGTCATCACTAAACTAGGATTGACATGACTACATACTAAAACTCTTAATATTTATCTTTAACACTTGGGACCTTCTCAGTTTCATTTTATCCTGTCCAAGATGAGCTTAATCCATTCTCATCTTGCAGGGGGAGTGTTACAATATCAGAATGGAAGAATTGATGATGCAATCACACATCAGGTGCAGGATTACAGTCAGCAACATGCACATGATTGCACACGATTTGAATCACCAAGCTCCGTTTCTCAGTAGCTTCTGGAAGGGTCTTTCACAGTTTATGGTCTCAAAGCCTGGAAGCTGTTTGACGCTGCCAACTATAACAGACCTCAGAGGGGATGCTACTGGAAAACATGATCTTCCTCCAGCTCGTCAATCAAGAATGTACATAATCAGCAGTTGTCAATTTATGAAGCATATTTCTGTAAATAATTAGATTGTAGTTGTCAGATTTGTGTGTGTTAGTTATGTCTCTGTAAATTACTGTGTTTAGAGACTAAGCATGATTAGCAAATCTGTATATATATAGAAGTAGATCTCAGAAGCTCTTCTGTACAGAATATACCACAGACTTTACGATCAAAAGGAAGACTTCTTCCCCGAGTTCTTGAAAACCTAGCATTTATTACATATTCTTTCTTTCTTGTTCTTCAATCAAGATTACATATATTTCCTTTTTATTTTTAATAATCTGATGACAGATCTTGATTTCTTTGATATGGTAACAGAGTGAAACTGTATGGGAATGGGGTGTCTCCAAGGATACTAAATTGCAGGATGAAGATGGGAAGGTCTATGAAAAACATGCCAAAGACAGATTGTACATAGTCTCCACCGATTAACTATATCACTTGCTCTGTTACTATTATGTTTCGTATTTACATGCTCCCGTTTAGTATACTTAGCACCTTCAGATTCCACAGGTCAGGCCGCACCTTGAGTGGTCCCAACCCCTACTAACCAGCGCTGACTCCCCAAAATGAGTTCAAAACAGAAGGGATGGGAACAAGGTAGAGAGAAGTGTAGCGAAGAAGAAATGCTAAAATTCTTGTCAAAAGAGAAAATCAAGTTCAATGCTTCGGATCCAAGAACGGCGGCGTGTATGGAGTTCTTAGCCCAATGCAACGCCCGCAAAGCTAAAGACTCAAACCCAGCTTGCGAAGTCCAGGTGAAGAGACGCATCAACGACCATCCGCAGATCACCATCAGGTTCGTGAATGGGGTTGAGGAGAAATTCGACGCCACCACCACGGCGGCCCAGACCATCCGCAACATGATCCTAGAGAACGGTCAGTATCTTGAGACGGAGCAGATGTTCCGGGAGGCTGGTGAGCAATGGCCTGTTCATATACCTGATGAAGAGCTCCTTCAACCATTTCTGGGAATTAAGGTTCTTCCTTATTACCCTGAGATTTATTTTTATTTTTCTCTTTTGAAGTTAAAATTTGGTAATTAATTCTAATAGACTTTGGGATTTGGCATTTCCTCAAACAGGATGTGTGCATGATTGTTTTAGTAAATTAGTTGCTGTCTGGGTTTTGTCAAGCAGAGTAGGCTTAGATTATACAGTTTTGCTGACTTACTGAGTTCCAAAAAGAAGTTTTGCTGACTTACCATTCGTTAAGTGTCCAAGTCTTTGTAAATTATACTGATACGTGGGCTTTCTTTTTTGGTTATTTGATCTTTTTCCAGCCAAAGAAAGCATAAGAGAAGAAGCAGTAACACTACAGCTGCTGCTAGCAGCTGCCAGAGTTGAGCCTAAGAACAAGCCGGGCCCGGTATATCTTAATCTTGAATCTGTATCGGTGCATTCTTGTAATACTAAAATTTGAATATTTGGTACTGATTTTCTGGATAACTATTTCGTCTTGCTTGATCACTTTGCATTCCCATTTCCCTCCATAATTTATGTTACAAAACTTTTGCCAATATATGAGGAAAAGCAGTTCTGTCATCTATGCGTGAATCTGGGCGACTGTCCGACTTTGTTGAACGGCTGAATACGCTACATCACTGATCACTCTTTATATAACGCTAATTACAACATTTGTAAAGCTTTGTTCATGTTGTAATGAAATGAGGAATGTTACAATCCATTTCGGAAAAAAAGAGTGATGTGTGATGTTACAAGAGTATTACACAAAAAATGACAATGTTAGTGATTTTACACAAAAGTCTCATAACAAGATCCAAGTCTGTTTTCTCTCTATGTTGCACAAGTACAAACACAAATATCTATAGACTCCATAACTCCAATCTCCCTGGTTTTTGTTAAGCTTCAGAAAACAACCTACTTAGGCCGGATCACGACCTTGTGGACACAGAGGAATCAATTACTTGTCGGTCTTTCCAGCGAACTCTATTGGGGTCAGCAATCATGTCCATCATCATCTTCTCTGGTGAGTCTACCCAAACTCCAAATGTCTTCAAGTCAACCTGCCAGAATACATAAAAGAAAGGGGTATCATTAAGGTCCTCTATCATTTACTTATCGCCTTTCCTCAGTGAAAAGTTTTTCTCTTTTCTTGTATGAAGTTTGGACATCTTTAGCTCTTTTGGCATCTGATCCCAATATCTCCACCTCCAAAACCGACATCTCGGTTGGTAAAAACCCCTGAAAAATAATGCAGCTCAATGTTTTGGTTCTTATTGAATTGTAGGTAATTTTGCTCCATAACGGATTCGATAAGTGAATTAAACATCAGGGTTTAATAACAGTGTTTGAGAAATATGCAAAGATTTACATCCATAAGGCTGATTCCATAGATGAGTTGGTTGAAGCATCCTGAGAGGGGATAGTCCGACTCAGGATTATAATAGTTGCAATCAATTGACCTTCATTTGAAGAATACTTGATTGGGAAAGAGAGACCCATGTTGATAAGTTTTTGTTTACAGCATGATGGCGAAGAGTGACTTTAGAAAAAACCTTCATCCATGAATTTTCTCTCGTTTCAAAATAACCCTCCAAAGAAAATTCCTAGAGGCTTTGAATGAGGATCACACACCCTTACAGCAGGATGTAAGTGGCTGTATACGAAGTTTTTCTCCTTTCCTGCCAAAATAATGACGAAATTATGAAATTGCACACTGCATTGCCAAAATGCTTCATTCTAAACTCCAAAGCTGAAAGAGAATAAAATCATTGACCAACCTGAAGCCGCAAAAAAGGTGAAAGACAGGATCTAATGCATAAAGGTTACCAGAACTTCCATAAAAGTTTGCGGCACCCCGTCATTTCCCTAGACGGAACAATAACCGCGGCCCTCGAGGAGATAATCGAGGAAATAATTGGCATCAAAGGAATAACTCATATTAACCTGCCCAACAATCCCTGGACGGAGGGCCACAGCCGATTCAACCAGTTCCTCCTCCTGATCCAACTAAACAGATCACTCACAACGTAGGAGCTATCTACGGCGCGTCCCTGGAGGTCTTGTCCACAATAGCAATGAAAGCATCACTTCGAGAAGTAACTAAGACACCACCTCAAGAACCAAGTCACAAACGGTTCAAAGGGACGGAGGCAATAGTCTTTACGGACAGTGAACATCCCGGGCATCTGTCCACAAACTGATGCAATGGTTGTTGAGGCCATCATAGGAAATGTCAAAGTAAGTCGGGTATATGTTGATAACGGAAGCGCGGTGGATATAATATACGATGAATGTTTCAAGAAGATGAACGTACAAATCCAGATTGGCGTCCCGCAACATTACCGCTAATGGGCTTTTCAAGGAACACGATAATCCCTAGTGGGATTGTCAGGCTTCCTATTACGGTAGGGTCGCATCCTCGAATGATAACTCTAACCATAGACTTCGCCATAATCGAAGCACCCTCGCCATTTAACGTGATCCTAGGACAGTCATGGATGTGCCAGGCCTGCGCTGTTTGGTCACCTTACCACTTGGTCATGAAGTTTCCAACAGAGCATGGAGTAGGAATTGTGCAAGGAAGCCAGCGTAGTTCTCGAGAATGCTTACTCACAAGCGATGAAAATCGGGAAGAAAACAATAAAGCCGGAACTTGCGATCACAACGTCAGGGTGTTACTCTGTTCAACAAAAAGTGTTACCAATCGAATGTAAAGGGGAAGAGCAGGACATGGATCTCGACCATCCCCAGCAGCCACCACTGAGTAGCAAGACAGAAGAGTTGATCCTGGACAAGAAAGAGCAAGAAAAGACAATCAAGCTAGGAATATCTATAAACGGAATCTTCCGAGTCGAGGTAATCGCCTTACTACGTGAATTTCGAGATATCTTTGCTTGGTCGCCATCTGATATGACCGGAGTTTCTCGAGAAGTCATCGAGTACAGGTTGAATGTCGACCCCAATGTCAAACCGGTGAAACAGAAAAACGAAAATTTTTGCCCACGATCGCAATGACGTCATTAACAAGGAAACACTCAAATTGGTCCGTGCCAACATACTCGAGGAAGTCCTTTGGCCAACGTGGCTGTCCAACCCAGTCCTTGTCCGGAAACCAGATAATTCTTGGCGCATGTGTCAGGATTACACGGACCTTAACAAACATTGCCCTAAAGATTGTTACCCTTTGCCCGTCATTGATCAGATGGTCGAGGGGATAATCGGCTTTAGAACACTTAGCTTCCTCAACGCGTACAAAGGATACCACCAAATTCTTATGGCTCGAGAGGATGCAGAGAAAACAGCCTACATCACAGAAATTGGAGTGTACTGCTATGATAAAATGTCCTTTGGCTTAGAAAACGCTGGAGCCACCTATCAGTGTCTCATCAACAAAGCTTTTCATGATCAAATCGGGCGAAACATTGAAATTTATGTGGATGACATGGTCATAAAGAGCAACCTCGACAACAAGGTGGTCGAGGACATGAGGGAGATCTTCACAGTTCTTCGAGCAATTAACATGAAGTTAAACCCGAAGAAGCGCACTTTTTGTGTTGGCTCCCGAAAGTTCCTGGGCTTTGAAGTATCAAAAGACGGAATAAGCATTGATCCCGCAAAAGTCGAAGCATTTTTGTCCATGGAAGCTCCAAAAACAGTCAAAGAAGTTCAAAAGCTTACGGGATTCCTGGCAGCATTAAACAGGTTCCTATCTCGAGCGGTAGAGAGGAGCCTCCCCTTTTTCAAGACGTTGCGAAAAGGGAGGAGTTTTGCATAGACTGAAGAGTGTCATAAAGCCTTCAAGGACCTGAAAGAGCATCTCAAGCAACTTCCCATGTTAGCTAAACCGGAGCCGGGAGAAACCCTATACATTTATCTGGCCGCTCGAGAAACTGCTATATCCGCGGTTCTCATCCAAAAAAAAGACGGCGAAGAAATCCCAGTTTACTTTGTGAGCGAAGTCCTACAGGGGGCAGAATCCTGATACTAAGTCTGGTGCTCGCTGCTCGACGGCTTCATCTGTACTTCCAAGCTCACCAGATTCAGGTCTTAACCGAACAACCTATACAGCAAGTTCTTCTCAAGCCTGAGGTTTCGGGTAAAATGATGAAATGGGCCGTCGAGCTGGGAGAGCACCATATCGAGTATAAGCCTAGGACAGCTATAAAAGGGCAGGCATTTGCGGATTTCCTTGTCGAGACACCCCGCACTTCAGACACCATGCCGAAACCACTACCAAAAACACCACCGCAGAAACACACTCCTGTAGATCCGCGAGCTTGGACTCTTTATGTCGACGGCTCATCTTGTGAAGATGGGGGAGGAGCTGGGATTATATTATCCAAATCAGCCGCGTCACAGGAAATCGAGGAGATGAAAGAATATGAGGCTGAATATTCCTACGCTTTGCGGTTTGCTTTCCCGGTAACCAACAATGTGGCTGAATACGAAGCAATGATAACAGGGTTAAACATGGCTCTAAGGTTAGGAGTCCGGAATTTGGAAGTTTTTAACGACTCCCAAGTGGTGGTTAGGCAAATTGGTGGCGATTACACTGTCTGGGAAGAACATCTTAGGCCATACCTTGAAAAAGTCCTCGAGCTTAGGGACAAGTTCGAGAAATGTTCTATCTCCCACGTTCTCAGAACCAGCAACAAAAGAGCCGATGCCCTGAGTAAGCTAGCTTCATCTAACTTCGCACAATTAAGTCATAAGGTTTGGGTTGAAATGCTCCCTGTACCTAGCATTTATCCCCGAGTCTCTCTTACTATCAAAGAAGATGGCGATACATGGATGACTCCATTCATACGGTTCCTCGAAAGCAGGGTGCTACCTGACAATAAGTCATAAACTCGAGCACTGAAATTAAAGGCAGTCAAATATAGACTAAGGAACGGAATCTTGTATAAGCATGGGTATTTGTTGCCAATGCTATGGTGTATCAGTCCCAGACAAGCAGCCTACGTCCTCGAAGATATTCATGAAGGTTCATGCGGCGCCCATATGGGAGCAAGAGGATTAGCTAAAAAGGTTCTTCGAGCAAGATACTTTTGGCCCACAGTTTTCAAAGATGCCTACCAATTCGTGCAAAAGTGTGATAGATGTCAACGGTTCTCGCCCATCACCCGACAACCACAACATGAAATGGTAACTATCTAAAGCCCGTGGCCATTCTACCAGTGGGGCACTGACATCATTAGCCATTTTCCAAAAGGGACAGGAGGACTACGATGGGTCATCGTGGCAGTAGACTATTTTACCAAATGGGCAAGGTGTTGAATTTTTTCTAGCAAAACGTGGTTTGTCACTTTGGAGTACCCAGGGTAATTGTATCGGACAATGGGAGTCAGTTTGAGAGTGATCCATTCAAGTCATGGTGTGCGGAGATGCAAATCGAGCGCCGATTTTCCGCGGTTGCTCATCCTCAAGCAAACGGCCTAGCTGAGTTGATTAACAGAACCATTTTATGTAGGATCAAGACTAGGTTGCACAGCGCCAAGGGTGCTTCGGTTGACGAACTCTCTCACGTTCTATGGGCGTATCGCACTACAGCTCACTTCTCCACGGATGAAACACCTTACAGTCTGGTCTATGGAATGGACGCGGTTCTCCCAGTGGAAATCGGTCTTCCAAGTCCTCGAACAATCAACTTTGTTGAGACAACCAACAATGAAGCCATCCTGACTAACCTCGACTTGCTCGAGGA